AATACCACTCACCAGCTCCAAACCATGGACGTGTCTGTTTTTCGCGCATTTGAATTTCAGTGGGATCAAGAATTGCTTAATTACTGGGACCAACATCCCAATAGAACACTAAATAAAGTGCGATTCTCAGATGTTTTTAAACCCGTTGTGGGAAAAAGGTATGACGATGAGCAATATCTGTAGTGGCTTCAGAGCTTCCTTTAATGAACATGCCCTTCCCGAACACGTGCTTGCACCAGGTTTTCCAAGCAATCGTCTGCGTCTGCACTGTGGAAGCAATCACCATTCGATGACTAATGAGATAGGCAAACCGTTCCACAGAACAAGGAAAAGAAAATAGAGTAGGATTCAGTGAATGGGATCCCGGAGATCTTATTCCTTTGTCTGATTTTGTGAAGAAAACAGCACAAGAGGACTCTTTTTCTGAGGTTTTTATCACACCAGATATGAAATCCAAAACGGTATCAACACGTAAAAAGGCGTTCAACTATCGCGCCCAAGAGGTCAGGGGGCAAGTGTTTGAGGATCACAATTCCCTAAAAAAGCGAGCAAACTGCAAGAAAGTCTTTGTGTTCCAAGTACCAGCTGTGCTTAATCACAAGAAAGTTGGATGTGTACAGTTTGTAACCATGACCACTTCGGTGATATAAGTGTTTGTGCATCCTGTGGGACATGGGTGCATGAAGAATGGGTTGTGCCATCGAAGACACAGAGGATTTTATTTGCCCCCAAAGTATGCCCTAAGTATCCGACTTTATTACCCGCCCTTATTTTACTGTGATGGTCTTATTACCTGCCTGGTCTAAAAATAAGGTCAATATGCAGGTACTCAGTTGTTTGTAATAAAAAAAAATTAAATATTTGTAAAATAAGTTTTATTTTGTGTAATAAGCAAATGTTGAGAAATGCGTAAGTGTTTACTTTATGTGAAAACCGTTTTTAGTTTCATAAATAAAAAATATTTTCCACTAACCCGACTTTACTAGTTAGATTTCACGTTTGAAAAAGCCTAAGAATTGGAACCTTCGTTTCTCAAAAACTCAGTTAAATAATATTGTTTTTGAGGTGGCCATGTGTCTGAATTAAAGTTCAAACATTTCCCTATTAAGTGTGATAAGTTCATTTTAAAGCAATGCTATTTAATTGTTATTGAGGCGCTACGAGCGCGCGTCCCTTTAGCGTTTGTAATATGCTAGGGGATGCATGCGTGGACCATACACCCTCATTAGCAGTTAATTAACATTGCTACAAAATGTACTAGAGAGAATACGAGGTCTGTAAATTAAGTTGCATGACGGAATTTTTAACTTTTTTATTAAAATTTAATTACAATTCCATAATGCTATCCTCAAAATAACTTCCTTCCGAAGCGACAGAATGCTGGAAACGATTCTTACACTCCTCATAGCAGTGCTAGAACTCCGACACTGGAATAGCCTTGAGCTGAATCGTAAAATTAGATGCATTCCGGCCACCATAAGGAGCCAGTTCATAGGCCGCTTAAACGGGCCCTTATGCACCTCTACATTCCTTAGGTCACAAGCCTCGCCCTTTAGTAAAGGACGCCAGTATAGTCTACCTATAGTAGCTCAGAGCTACACAGCGACACAAAACGGGCGCCGAGGTCTCTTCCTCTCCCCCACAGTGCTCACACAAGGGATCCTCAGCTACCCCCATCACGTGCAGGTGGCGCCTTAACGTGTTATGGCCAGAAAACAGTCCCACCAGCAACCTTAGGTTGGCTTTGTCAAGAGATAAGCAGAAAGGTCCATCCTTAGCACTGGGCCCTTCTATGGGTTCCCGTGCCTGGCGGAGATGTCTGGAGATTCTTCTCCATTTCTGAGAGTGTTGTCTTGCAATCCACGTCTCCATTTTCCTCCTAGCTCTATGCGCGGTCACCCCTAAAGCTGGCTCAGGACCAACGAGCTTGCTGGTTGATCCTGTCTTCGCCAGAGCATCCGCCGTCTCATTGCCCTTTATCCCAGCGTGCCCCGGTACCCACATTAATGATACCGGATGCCTCGCTGCGAGGCAATCCAGAGCCTCCCTGCAATACAAGAGTCGAAGTAATCTTACAGGCACTTAGTGCCTTCATGGCAGCCTGGCTGTCGGATAAGGTTGTTATTCTTCTCGTAGTCCCACCCTCCTCTAGAGTGCGAGATACACAAGCCAGAATCGAAAGATTTCCGCCTGGAAAATAGTGGTATATCCCCCGAGAGGCAGATATAGACTATGTAGTTCTAGGCCCAGAGACCCCAGCACCTGAGCCTTTTTCGGTCACCGAGCCGTCCGTGTACCAGATCTGCCCGCTTACTCCGGAGAGTCTCCGGCTACCGGCGTCTCACTCCTCTCTCGTTGGATATTTCACAAAAACTTGCGGTTAGGGGTAATAGGATCATCCCTACTTAGAAGGACGGGGCCGGTTACAGCCGTTCGTTTGTGGTGCTTTTCCAACTTCGGGAAGAGAAAAAAGTCACAGGGACCCAAGTCAGGCGAATAAGGGATTGAGGACCCACAAGAATGTTTTTACTGATCAAAAACTCGTTTATTGTCATTGCTAGGTGACAAGGAGCATTATCGTGATGCAACACCCAGTTGTTCTTGATCTGACGAACGCTGATGCGAGTCAAATTTACCTTCTCCTTTATCATTCTGACTGTCAACCGATAATCTGAAAACACAAGATCCCGGATTCTGTCGAGATTTTCATCGGCTTTCTTCTGAAAATACCTTAAACCACCGACCTGGGCTCTCAACAAAACACTATCTCCAAAGGGATGTCGAAGTTTAGCAAGAGTTTCGGGAGGTCTGGAGCAAAAGCTGATGGCACACATTCATTTTTCGAACACGATAGAAAAAACTGTTTCACAAAAAAGATCACTGCAGGCAACCAAATGACTTGAGCGAGGGCAAAATTGTACTGAAGGCGGATCACATGTTCGCGAGTCTAACCTCCAGTGTTGCCAGATCGAACGCTAGGTTGCCAGTCTCATCACTTATTTTACAGGTCTCGTACTCTCGTACGAGTACATGGTCGACTAAAAATTAACTACATCTTGATAAAGTGAATTATTGCAGCGTTTTTCTTATTTAGAATAATAATTTCATAGCTGTTCCTAAAGACATCGAATTTCTATTAATATTTGATGGTCAGTTGGACTCATAGGAAAATACCTTATCGAATGCTATTTGACAGAAGCTGTTAAAGCTCTCTGAATATCAGTGATTTCTATAGAAATATTGAATAAAGTCGTAAAAAACCAGTTGCCTTATAAATAAGGATACATTATGGATGTAATATTATGTCTTTGTGCTTTAGAATTAGGATAACTTTCATACAATTTAAAATTTTTATCGTTTCAGAAAAGACAATCAGTTATTCAAGTGGGACCAATGGGAAAGCGGCAAATAATAGGTCGATTTTCTAGCTATTATATTTGGTAGGATGTTTTCGCTGTTTTTGCCGACTGTTCATGCACGGTAATCTAGTTTTGTCTGTATATCACGTACAGGGTGCCCAACTAGCAAAGTAGTGCTATAAGCTTTTGGTAAAAGAACCGTTCAGTCACAAAAGCTGTCTATTATTCTTGCCTGAACACCAAAATGCTGCCTTAATGTTGTGTGGAATGCAAATTTGCTTTCTGCAACATATTTGCTCTAAAATGAGCGGTTCAAAATATTCTTATAGCATAGTTATACAACACCTTATAGGACAAATTAAATTTTTAACTGTTGCATAAACGTTTATACAACTAATTTATACGGCATATTTGCACGTTAGTCAAATGGTTGTATTGTGGCATCCATTGTAACGTTTATAAAACAAACCCAAACCTTGTCGTTTTTTTAGCCAACAAATTGTTCCCAACAGAAGCACTTATACAACTGTTGTTTAGTAAGTGTTACAGGCTGTACATATGCAAGAATATTACAACTTTCGTACTAAAAAATTGCTGTGCTTGGCATACATTTGTTGCTAAATATTTTGGTATACAACTTCACCATAACCAATGTTTTGGTATATTGGTTCAAAAGGTTTTATCAACTGTTCAAACAGGAGATATAGATCTGGTACAAATTCTAGGTAACCCATTCGACTCTGTCGGTATTTCATTTGAGACATTTGTCAAATTATTGTATAATACCTGCAGGCAAAACCAAAATATGCTAATAAACTAAAGACAGAATGGACGATGCCATGATTATACACAACCACCCGCCATATTGGGCAAACATTTATTCTTCTAATTGATACAACTATTTTATAGGGCATATTTGCACGTTAGTCAAAATGATTGTGTTGTGGCATCCATGGTAACGTTTATAAAACAAACCGGAACGTTGTTGTTTTGCTGTGCAATTCACTACCTTAGCCAACAAATTGCTCCCAACGGAAGCACTTATACAACTGTTGTTTACTAACTGATAAAGGCTGTACATATGCTAAATATGTTGGTATACAACTTCACCATAACCTAACTTTCTGCTGTCATATTTTTGTTAAAGTACCATATCCAATGTTTTAAGACAAACAACGCGTGCATATTGGTTCAAAAGGTTTTATTAACTGTTCAAACAGAAGATATAGATCTGGTACAAATTCTGGGTAACTCATTCGACTCTGTCGGTATTTCATTTCAGACATTTATCAAATTGTTGTATAACACCTGCAGAAAACACCAAAATATTCTAATAAACTAAAGACAACATGGACGATGCCATGATTATACACAACCACCCGCCATATTGGGCAAACATGTATTCCTCTAGTTAATATTAAATAATTAGGTGTCAGTTCGAAATTACAGATATAAAGTGATAAACATTAGTGTAATTGTGTCTAAATATAGGATTTGTGTAAGATTTAACGCAGATAAGATAAGTTTTCCATCTTAAAAATCTATACATACTTTTCATCATTATCAAAATATGAATCAAATACGAAGCCCGTAGAAATTGCGTAACTACTATGCACGATAGTCACAATAAAATTTGCTGGCAAGTAATCCAATAGCCCTATATCACAGTGTAGAGGTTTATCATATACCTGTGTATGAAATTCACAATGGCCGATATGTAAGTAAACCAGATGACTGTAATGTGTTAGTTATATATTCTTCACTTTGTCTATACAATTCATAAGAAATAGTTTGGTTGCAATAAAGTAGAATCACGTAACAGTTGTATAGTTGACAAAAAATGAATCTTGCACTGATGCAAATGTAATGTAGCGGCTGCAAGAGACTTACACTTTTGTTGTATAACTGTTACCTGCACAACTTATACAACCTCTTAAATGACTGAACTGTCCTATTAGGTATGCCCATTCCGCTTGTATAGCTGTTCTAAGAGGGTTTTGCCAATGTTGTTACAGTATAAAATGCTGTGTAAGGAATACTGTATAATTATTCTTGCAACTCTAGTAGGAGTGATAATTGTTAGTTGGGTGTTGTACGTAATATTTGCAAAAAAAGGATATAAAACATATATTCCAACTGGATCAACATCCTTTGTTACATCAAAAATAATATTTGGAAATTTATGATCTAGAAATCCACACAAAATGTAAAGAAACAGCACATTCTGCATTTCTGGGTCCTAAAACATCGATATTTGTAAAAGTATCCGCATCCACCTAATACTCATCGTCTAGATATTATAAGTCAGAATCAAAAATACCTATTTATGAAAATATATCTGCTGACATTGTCATATTTTCTTATTATTTCTATTATTATAACACGTCTGGGATATCAATTGCTTTTAAAGTGATCTGCAGTGTTGCCGAACCGGAGAAAAATGGTATCGGTAAATATAGTGTCGTTGAGTTCGGTATAAGGTAAATGCCGTCCCAAGATCAGGTGGTAGATCAAGGATCTTTGAGTCATGTTAGACGTCTGTTATTGTATTGGGCGCGCACGCAACATGTTTTTTGAGGTCCTATTACAACTTCTACAATATGCATACTGGTCGCTCTTTGCAAACCATTCTGGAAACTCCTGTTTCGATTCTTGCTTATGGGATTATGAATATGTTTCTTTTTACCCCTGAACTCACACTCCCATTTTAATTAAATATTTATTTTGAAAACAGACAGGATTCGGTTTCCATATTGCTTGTCCGGTGATGAGGTAATGACGGTAATCTACCAGTCTGTACATTTTGTATGTACAAAAATCAATTCAGGGTAAGCAGAGTAAGGGATGCGGATGTGCGTTCGTAATCATAGGCAACCCAAATCTACGCCTCTCATGTGCCCGACTGCCTGAGTGTGTATGCATATGTATGATTGATATGGGGCATAAAACTATGAAGATTACATAAAATTAACTTTTAGCTTTATTTTTGGTTTCAGCTCTTTTTCGGCAAATTATTTTTAAAAATCGTGGAGAATGATGTTATCGGTAAATATTCTCTTTTCGGTAAAAATACCGTAAAATCCGGTTGAAGTTCATGCATAGACAATCTGAAATGTTCAATATGAATTTATATTTTAAATTCTAGGCATATCCGTTTAAATTCGTCAATATTTCATTTGAAGCTTTTATTTGTCATAAGATTCTAGAGAAATGTACGACAGTAAAGGCAACACCGCACCCTGCCGCCAAGCTGACAAGAACGACAAGCTGTCAGAATTAAGGATGTTTAGATCCACGGGAAGTATCGTTATGTATCGATTCTTATCGTTTTAGGAAGTATCGATACTCTAAAATATTGGAATAAGGTTATCGATATCCAGCGGAAGGGACACAGTCCGGATCGAAAGATGACGATACTCGTGAAATGTATCGATTCACCCAAGTGTCGTATATGAAAATATCGATCCAAAATATCGGGTATGGAAAGCAAAAGTATCGATACTTCTAAATATAGGATCGTATCGAACATCCCTACTGTCAAGATGTATAAGCCGAGGTACCAACGCAGCTATTTTGGGGCGTCATGAAAACAATTTTAAATTTTCATTTGCATTTTTTGCAGTTGGCGGAGCGTACTCCGCTGGGACCAGGAGGGTGAAACGGGATATTAATGCACAATCTGGCAACCATGTCGCACCCTCAAAAAATGGCCGCTGACTACCACACAAGTCACCGTGTAGTCATTGAATGGCATGGAATTAAACCGTCTTCAGTATATATGGTTGGTGACTGGGACCATATGCGTCACTCGTTGGGGATTTTTGAAATGTAATAATCAACTATTATTCAAATAATGTCTAATTATATAACCTAGAATGTGAACTCGTGAAAAAAGATATTGCAACTTTCTAGTTTTTTTGCAGGTTTTAGGTTTGTTGGTAGCTTTACGACATATATCTGGGTATCTCTTAATCGCTGTAAATACAGTGTGAATGTTTGTTCAGTTCCTGAACAACGAAATATATTCAACTTTATGGTTGTATGGATACCAAAAAACCTGAATGGTTTTTGGGAATATCAATCTAAGGTGCCATAACGGTTCTGATGAACGGCAAGTAAATGAATGAATGTTTGGAAACGAGCAATATCTATGAGATGTTTGGTAGATTCTGTCATCTAGTAGGTGTTTAATGGCTATCTGCAATAGGTTTATAGGAAACAAAACACGGGAGGTGATGTTGAATCAGTAAATTCGCATATCAGTTGAAGAAAATAATATAAACATGAATAAAAAATCAACAATAGTGATTAAAACATGAATTTTATTCAAAAATCAAACATTTCTTTAAATTTTGACTGAATTATATATATACATATATATATATATATACAGGGTGACTTCGAAGTTGAGTCATTTATTTTAACAGTGAATAGATCTGATCAAAAGAAATGTTTTTTTCCTTTACCATTTTTCTGGTAAAATTAAAGTAACAAAGTTATAGCCCTTTGGAAGTTTGAGTACCGCCCTGTCTCAATATCATGTGCTCGTGTTTGGCAACAACGGATATAATCCGCCTTACCAGTTCATCGCATCGGAAACAAAAAAGCGAAAGAATTTGGAACGATGTTTGTGTACAGTTTATTATTTTATTCAGTTCAGTTATACATACAGTCCGTGTCAGTGTCGCGTGTGAATAGTGTCTGTTGCGTGGCTCAAACGAAATAAAAAATGGCACATGTTTATGCGGATCGGTTTCCCAATCGAGTGCAACCAACCCCTCGTGCCTTTGTTAATGTAGTACAACGGGCTCGTGAATCAGGTGACTTAAGACCTCACAGGGGACCTCACGATCAAATACAGGTCCGCACTGAAATACTTGTCGGGAGGATACTTTATAAAACAAGGTAAAAAATTTTTTTTTATTTTTTTTTATTTTTACACACATATTTTGGTTTATCTTCCTTCTACAATCATTATCTGAAAATTAATGACTCAACTTCAAAGTCACCCTGTATATATATATATATATATATATATATAATTTCTTAATATCCAATAAGCTGGTGATATTTCGAGGACAAGCTGTCATCTCATTCTTTGCCAATATTTTGTTTTCAACATTTCATAGGTATTGGTTGCTGGAATTTGTTGATTGGATGTTGAAGCTCATTCGCTGTATTTGACGGACTGTTACCCTATAGATGGAGAATAAAGGACTGTCAGTTTGACAACCTTGGTGAAATCCACCCTAAAGCTGTTATTTTTATATGACGGTAGCTTCGGATATTGGTTGTATATTTACTGAAATTTGAGTTCACGAGGTAAAAATGAAATATTCCTGTGGTTCTCAAAATAACATTTTAGTTGTTGTCGATAACAGCTAATTTGGTGGCGAGGAACCTAATTCTTGCAAAAAGTTAATTCTATACCTCTTTCAATTAATAAAATGATGCTCCTCAAACGACAATAATGATAAATTACTAAGTTTGGGCTGGTGACATGTCCTACTGGAATACGCTAGTTCGAAGAGTTTATTTTTGTTAAAAAATAGATAAGGCTAATATGCTTAATAGTGCATAAATGAGTTCTGACCTTTTTTTCTGAAACATCATCGATGTCCTTTTCATTCGGCTCTGGTTCAAGGACTTCAGTATTGTATAGTCTGAAATATAGATAAGTACAAGTGTCTATAAGGAACAATTTTTCATTCAGAAATAGTAAAAACTTTTCTCGAAAAATACAACTCAATTTTTATTTGAACCCTCTCTGTAGAACAAGAGCTCGCGACGGCCGGACCTTCGTATTTTGTAAAACCTGAAAGTCCCTATGTGCATGAGACAACACAGTTACGAACGATCATCAACTACGTTGCAACGATATACTCAGTGACGTTAGAAGTATTACACCCAGAAAAAATAATTTGCTCAACTTGTTCTTTGGTAAAATAATGACTATTCTTAAAGCATGCTGTGGCGACAATGTCACCGTTTTGTCTTTGTTTTTGTTTACCTTTGTTAAAATGTTATCTCTTAGTTTTTGCGTAGTAAGCAGTTTTTGAGATCTGAGTAGTTAAATACATTTTTATTTATTGCCCTTTCATTTACTAGTGTTAAGCATAACTTAGAGTGGATTTCACAATTTAACAAACCATTATTCTGCACCAATAGGGTACGAGTACCAAACAGTCCGTTAAAAATATCCAATCAGCCTCAAGATCTCAAGATCTCTCCGTCAAATTTTTGGCAGCAAATAGCATCAAAGTATTCAAAACAAAACACTGTAAAATATGAAGTGACATCTTGCCATTGAAATCTTTTCGGTTTATTAAATATTATGAAATTATGTAAAACTGAGCCAAAATTTTTAAAAATGCTTGATGTCTGAGTAAAATCTATTTTTTCAGATTAGCTGAAGGTTTTTCCATGTTTACTGCAACTTTAGTAATACATATGTGATTATATCACCTACTGTGTGCTTATAGTTTATCCTATATTTGCAAACTTGCACTTCCAAACCCTTACATGAAAAAGCCTTTTCACTCAAATTTTTGTTAGGTGTTGCATTTCAACACAGCATACACTTCTTTCCAGTTCCTCAACGATATTTTAACCCCACTGGTCCGAAACTGTTCAACAGTTTCAACATTCATACATACAATTGCAGTTGCAGTTTTTTGTTTTAATTTCAGTGTATAATCAGTCGCACCATCGGTGATGGTACATTCAACATAACCACGTATTTAGGGGTTCGTTCGATTTAAGTGTACACGACGTCATCATTAGGCGCTCCTCTGGCGATGTCCGATTGCATTCAGGTGCCTTCTGCAGGTACCTCTTCACCAAGGTCAGGAGTTGATACCAGCGTGGCTTTCGTTTTTTTTGCTCTAGGCATGGCCATCCTCAATTAATCGCACAAAAAACAAGTCCAAGGCAGAAAAACACACCCGAAGACGAACACCAAAACAAATCTCTACCGCAAATTCGTCAACTCAAACAAAAACAACAGATGATCTACCACCTGGCTTTGACCGTAAATCGTCGTGGAACACGAGACACCACAGAATTATTATAATTACGTCAACACGAGCATAGAACAGTACAGAAAGAGCTATCCAAGGGTAAGACGAGTTCCAAAACCACCCGAATCATGTCAAAAAATGGCTGTGACGACACCAAAACGTTTGTCTACCACTGGAAATCACTAGCTAGTTCGGTTACGTTAAGTTGTGCATGAGCCCGACATTATTTTTCAGTAATTACTAATAATTTTATTAACATGTTTTACACATATCGATGTTTTAGGATGGAGACGACATATTGTTTTGATTGCTTTGAAGAAATTCATTAACCCATGAATTTATAACAATTGATTACTATTATGATGTAAAGAGAGATGAGGAATTGATTGGAATACATTTTATATTCTATTTTCTTGCAAATCCGCACAATTCAACAGGTATGTGTAGCTATAATGATCACATATACACACAGTATATTGAACTTAACAAATTTCGACATTGCCATGAATTAACAAACGACCAAACCTACTGCCAAATTTAACAGCTAGAAAATCGACCTATTATTTCTCCCATTCCCATTTGCTTAGGGGATAACGGATAGACAAATGTACACCTATAACATAAATGAAAATACACGAAAGTTGTCCTGTTTTCTCTGTACAAAAAGCATCATGTTGGAATCAAAAAGTGGTCTTGTTTATAATACAGTCGAATTTTCACGATTTTATTCAACATTTTAATAGAAATCACTGATATTCTGAGACCTTTGACAGCTTCCGTCAAATTGCATTTTGGATAAGGTATTTTCCTATTGGTCCATAATAATAATGTTGGTGAAATCGGCCCTTAGTGCCGTAAGTTCGAAGACGTCCAAATTATCACCATGTTAGCAACTTTGACAGGGGTAGAATTATTGCCCATAGAGATGTTGGTTTGTCCTATCGCGGAATTGTACTGCAACGACGGTACTGCGTGTGTGTCGTGTGTAGATAGAAGGTAGGAGAATACGAAGAAGGCAAACTGGTCCACCGAGGCGTACCACAGAGTGCCAAGGTTTAAATCCCATCTAACATGTGTGGGACTCTGCCACAGCTAATCCACGAAGTTCGAGTTGCTTGGAAGGAGGTGCCACAATCAGACATCGATCATCTCATTTTGTCGATGCCTAGACGTATACAGGAGTGTACTCAGGTTAATAAAGTTTCGTGAGAATGTTATCTGTTTTATTCTCTATGTAAGACCACCCTATTGCCAAAAAATCAAGTTGAAGAAATTATTCTTTCTGGGTGTAATAATTCTAATGTCACTGAGTACATATAAAGTAGTTCCTCGATTTCGTTGAAGTATAAAGCCCCGTTATTTTGGTATCCTGTTCAGGATGATATTAAAAACGAGGTCATCCATTGCCAAACATTAAGAAATTAGAGTTAAACTTTCATCATAGTATAAAAGTTGAAATTTATATATGTTACTTGCAGGACTATCAAAAGGTTTTACCACAGTAGTCAGACAATTTTAATGGTTTTTGGATTGTGTCAGCTACATTGCAAGATGCCGTGCCAGCGCGACGCAAAATTATGTTCTATTGTATTATGTATTATGAATTATGGTCTATTGCGATCTTTGACTGCGTTGACTGTCCTTCATACCGTATTATAAGCCTTTTCAGTTGGTCCGGTTTGTCCAAAACGTACGTATGAGCAGAAAGTGTCGAAGCTTACGCGTGGCAACGGGAGCTCGTCTTCAATAGTTGCAAGGACACGAGTTAGTGTAACATTTTGCTCGTAAATTCATCCTTGGTATTGCTTGTACGCCTCGATGCCAATTTATATCCAGGCAATTTCGCAGATTAATTGGGTGTATGGGAGCACTTTTGGGGAAACGCAAAGGGGTTGGGAGAGCAAAGGGGTAGCGTGCGACAATACTAGCAGGAAATTTACGACGGCCAGTTGGGCGATACCGCCGTGG